AACATCACAAATCATCAGATGAATGAGTCAGCTTTCTGTTGATGTCAAACAAAACCCCTGACATACCCAACTTCAAGATAAAAAGGGTTATTTAAGCTCACAGTTGGAGAGGCTTCATTCTATGGTAGGCCTCCTTCAAGGTAGAAAAAGGATGGCAGAGGAAATCTCCAAACCCCACGGCAGCCAGGAAGCAGACAGAGAAGGGACAATGAAAGAGAGCAGAAGGGGTCGGTGCTGGGGACAGAATACATTCTTCCAAGGCACCCTCCCAGTGACCAACTTCCTCCCACCAGGGCCCACCTCCTAACAGCACAATGAACTAAACACTCATCAGCAGATCAATCAACTCACAAAAGTTTGTACCCCCGCGATCTAATCACCTTCCAAAAGCCCCCACTTGAACACGGGCCTTTTGAGAGATATTCTTGATCTAAACCACAACAAGGAAACACAAATCAAAATTACAATGTGATATTACCTCCTACCTGTTAGGATGATCACTCTTATTAAAAAATTGTAAGGGTTGACAAGGATGTGAAGAAAAAGAAACCCCTGTCCTTTGTCAGTAAGATTATAAAATGATGCAAGTACCATGATAAACAGTATGGAAGTTAAACAAAAACTAAAAACGGAAGTGCAAATGATGTACAATCTCACTTCTAGGTGTGTATCTAAGTATAGATATCAGAATTTCAAAAGATATTTGCACTCCCATGTTCACTGAAGCATTGTGCACAATCACCAGGAAGTAGGAAATACCTAAATACTCACTGACAGGTAAAAGGCAGAAGACAGTGTGGTACATACACATAATGCAATACTACTCAGCCATTACAAAAGAAGGAATGTTATCATATCACTGACACAGATGAACGTTGAGGGCATTATGCTAGATAAAGTGAAACAGGACGACAAGTCCCGCATGATTTCACTTGAGTTATTAAAAACCGTAAAACTCAAAAGCACAGAATACAATGGTGGTGGCTAAGGGATGTGTGGAGGAGAATGGATGGGATTGTCTGTAATGAGGAAAACAATTTAACTATGCAAGATGTGCAAGTCTTCAAGGCATGCTGCAAAACATGATGCCTACTGTTAACAATAGTACATTATAGAAAATTTTCTTAAGCAGAAAGTCTCATGTTAAATGTTCTTACTACAAATGAGGAAAAAAAAATCTCCAACACAGAAAACATAACAGTTGAATTGCATAAATAAAAAGTATGATTCAAAATAACTTATCGCTAACGCAAGATTTAATTTTGAAACTATGACCACAGAAAAAGGTGAAAAGTATTTTATGAAATGGAGAACATGACAGCGAAAACTTTAAGCATTTACAGTTAGTTTCCTTTCATATAATATAATAATGAAGTAAATAAGTCTTCATTAATTTTATAAATCTAACTCATCCAACATAAATCAAAATGAGGAAGACACAATACACATTTACACAAGTTATTAATCAAAACTAGACAAAATGAGACTCTATTTAATTGCTATTGTGGGCAACAGTTTCCTATAAGCAAGTGTGAGAAAATTAAATATAATGGTACTACAACTGAATATTCATTTTCTAACTCATGTTAAAATTTAACTGCAATTAAGACAGTATTTAAAAGGTGAGACGCCTAAAAGGTGGTTAGGCTATGCAAACCCTGCCCTCATTAATGGTCCATTTAAAAATATAATTTCATCTCTTTTTGTCTCTGTTGCCTTCTTGCTTTTTACCATTGGATGATTCAGCAATAGTGCTAGCAAGTGATAGTGGAGATCCTAGTCTCCAGAACTTTCAGTAAATAAAGTTCTTTTCTCTATAAAATACCCAGACTTTGGTATTATTATAGCAGCACAAAACAGAATTAAGACAATGTTATTCAATTATGCTATAAGTATGGAAAACATAATAAGGATTACAGTCTCATATATGTTTAAATTATACTTTGGAATTTAAATACATCTATCATAAAGAAAACACATTTACTCTCATTCTAAAGCACACTGTTTTAAGTAAAAATTCTTTAGAAGCATCCATTTAACTTTGCAAGGCAAAGGTAATCTTCTGTTGTGTTCCCACAGTATGAAAACACATTATTATGCAAATCAATTCATTAAAACAAAACAAACCACAATTTTCTTTTTCACTGTAAGCTGACTTTATGCATATAAAAAAGTGGGACATTTTCCTGAAATATATCAAAGTGCAAAACAAGAGCTATACAGTGGTACCCTGGTTCACAAACTTAATTTATTCTACAATTTCAGAAAAGATGGCCATATTTGTTTGTGTGGGAAAGATAGCAAGGGTTGTGTTTGTCAGTCAGTGCAGAATTTACAAACTAAACCAAAATTTTGCCAAATGCTGATGTTGCTATCCAAATTTTTGCAAATAAAAGCATTTGTGAACGGAGGCACCACTGTATCCTAATGGCCAGTGTTCCCTCACCACTTCACACTGTGTTAGAGACAGGCTGAAGGCCCAGTCTATTCTCCTTAATTATTAGCAGCACAAGTGAACCTAGTAAATTACTCAAATATAAAGAAACATATTGTTATAAAATGTGAGTTTGGAATGAAATTAAACTTTGGAAATATTTTGGCTGCAGGCTTAAATGTCATCATTTCCATAACTCTTTAAAGTTTTACTTTGTTTTTTGTATATGTCAGATGATGCACTGTGATCAAATGAATGCATTTAGCATATATATCATCTTATTATTTTTCATTTCTGTGTTGTAAGAACATTCACAATCCACTCTTCTTGGTTATTTTGGAGTATACAATATAATACTGTTAACTACAGTCACCCTATTGTGCAACAGAATACCAAAACTTTTCTTTCTATCTCACTATAATTTTGTACCTACAGACAAATTTCTCCTGTCTCTCCCCTTCCTTACCTTCTGGTAACTACTATTTGACTCTATTTTAATAGGAGTTCAGCTTCTAAACATTTTCAATTCTTTGTTGATGAGATAAATAAATTTGAGGTTTAGATACATATGAAGAACTGTTTTCTTTCAATGTATAGAATATTCTATTATTAGGTTTTTTGTATCTGCATAGTACCTTTTCCCAAGAGCTATACCAATCTCTTCCTGAAAAATATAAATATAAAGATGTGGAAAGGGTCAAATATTTTCTGTATCAGTTAAAAAAAAACACGACTCTCTAACCTCATCTTAAACTTTAAAAATAAATGTTCTTTTACTGCAAACATGTACTCATAAAAATGAAAATTAAAAAAATAAATGTCCCTATCACATTAAGGTTACTAACCAATTCAGGCTGCACTGAAAGTGACATGTTAATCCTTACTGCACTTGCGACGAGTATGAGAAAAAGCATGGGGAGTTAAGATGACCTATCTAAAGAAATAAAAATTTCTTGGTATGAATACATTATAATTACTTAATAAAATTATTATTGAGGACTAGTTGTATGCAAACTATACAGATTAATATGCTCATGACAGGGCCCTGATTCACATGTCTCACAGCCAGGTGGCTTGAACCAACAGTGGTACATGCATGACTGTCCTATTGAGGTTTTTATTAATTTTATTATTGGAAAGACCGATAAAAGTGATTAGATCCATTTGTACCACCAGTGGGTATAAGCCACCTGACAGGACAGTCTTTATGTGTACCACTGGTGGTTAAAGCTGGCAGAAGCATTTTAAAATACCTTATGAGAAGCTATGTATTTAAAGATTTAACTAATAAATTATACAATAAAGATTAAAAGCATTATACTAAAAGTATATAATATCTATATTAATTATATGTTCATAAATATTTAAAGGAAAGGAGAGAAAATGTAAGAAAGAATGTATATCAGAGGTATGGCAGGTTAGAGGAGATTTAAAAGATGGCTACAAGCTGATAAAGGTAGAGAATATCCCAGGAAAGGAAGCAGAAAAAAAAAGCTTACTTATAAACAACAAACAGTACAAATAGGATAGTAACACTGAGTTCTCTGCAAAGTAGCGGAGATACTAGTTTAAAAGGAAAATTACAATGGGCAAGAAATGTGGACCATTTAGCATTTCCAACTTTAGTGGATGTCACATGGATCAGTATTAAAACTATAATCAAGGTATGTTTTCGAAAAATTAATCTATTGGCCTATAAATAATGTACACATCTAGTGCCTTTCAGTAACCAACAGATGGCGTATATTGTTACGGTTATCAGTACAAATTTCCTGAAGCTTACTCCAAGAAATCATATGAAAAGGGCTAGGGCTTCAGGAGCAAAGTAGTAAGAAGATAAGACCACAGTGACATGTTAAAAATTTTTTTAAGAATGTTCATCAGTCCACAATAGTGCATCATTGTATTATTCTCCCAAAATATGTATCCTTTCCAAAAGAAACATGCAGAAAACTTAGAGAGGAAATTAAAGCACATTATCAAACTGTTTTTAATCTTAACCAACCTAATACTAACTCTTAAAATTAACACTAGGCTATACTGATCTATCAGTGTTTCTTACCCACCAAAAAAAGAGTGCAGAGAACTAAGTTATATAAATTCAGAAGCAATCACTACTGTGAACTCTGCTACTAAGATAACAACACATTAGTCTCACTTTTAATTTTGTGGCAAAGGATTCCTAACATTCTACTTCAATGACTGCTAGGGTTCTTAGCAATATTTGATTTACTTCTTTGAAGTAAGTTCAATTTATCATTGACAGTATACTGCCTACAAGCTGTTCCTGTTTTCTCTTGTGTCATTACATTTTGTTGCCATAGCTCTTTATGAAGTTGGAAACACAGTTATGAAAGAATATATTTGGTGTGGTAGGCATACCGAATAATTTTTTAAAAACTTAACACTAAAATAACCCTTGGGGTAGCAAAGGAGAAAATAAGAGAATATATACTTTGACTTATGAATAGAATCCTTTCATACTAAATGCTAAGCATAATTTCTATTTCCCATTATTAAGGATCATATTAAGCTCAGAATATTGATGGTTAGAAAATACACTCACCACTTGTCCATTGTGTGGGTTCTTATGAGCATATGGAGGCCCACGAATATGATTCCACATCTGGCCAGATGTCATAGCAAAAACAATACACTGAAAAACAGGGCAAAATGTTTCAATATATAAAACAGAGAACAGCAGATTTGCACATTTTAAAAAATAATGGTGACATGTAGGAAGGGTACTGAAAAGAAAAGGGAAAAGAAAAAAGTAAGAGAAAAGGAACAAATGGAAACAAAGTCTTTGTAAATAGGGAAAGGTGGAGGGGGTGAAGGGAGGGCAAGGGTATGGGGAAAATATAAAAACTAAGACATATCATACAAAGGTACAAGATCCCAATGGTGTATGTAACTACTGTATACCTAAAAAGTATCAAAAAAAATTCAATGAAAAAAAAACAGTGATATGAATCTACCTTTTAAAAATAATGAATCACTTACTAACTATGCAGTCTTGGGTAAGTTACTCATTCTCTGCATCCTAAATTCTATATCTATAAACTGGGATGCCAACTCTGTTGAAGAGATATACTGATAAAATTGAATAGTGTATTTAAAGCATCTGGCATGGTGACAGATATTCTGATATCTTGTGCTATCTGGACCAGTCAAGAGCACAGATGAAATGCTTGAAATTTTAGAAATAGCTGAAAGAATATGATAATTGCATAGACATCTAAACTTTACTCATATTAATTTGGATCACAAAAAGCTTACATTCTTGGGTTATAATACATCTTCATAAGTACTTAAAGTGCTTTCAGAAAAAATGTATGTATCATAAATTCAGAAGCTGTGTAGAGATGGAAGATATCATAAAAGGACAGCCAGTCACAACCTATGGAGAAATTCCTTCTGTCTGATGGATTTACCAGAAATGAAGTGTATACAGAAAACAGTTCTGAAAATACAAGGCATTACCATGCAGGGTGGAAGAAAAGTGTAGGTACCAGAAAACATAGATCAAGCACTATCATTCATGGCTATGTTTTGCTTAAACCATATACTTTAAAACTCATGAACTTGAACATGTTCAGACTTAAATCTGTTCTTTTGGTTAAAAATATGTAGCATTATCTATGGTCCTATAACTTCTCCAATTCTTCTTTATATTTATTAAATTTTAAGTGACTAATGAAGATACAAAAAGGGAAAAGTGGAGTGGAGCAAATTATAGAGGATATTTAAATCTAGAAAAAATCAGATTTTATTGCATGAGTGCTTGGAAGTCTGTGTTTCAACAGAAAACGATGATGATATAACAGGTTTGGCAATGTTATCTGGAAACAGGATCCATGAACTTCCCAGTATGGACCCACACTTAGGAGGCTCCTATTTAGCACTCATCCTCTCCAAGCCGATCTTGTAAGGTTGTCTCACCCAGTCTCTCAGAAGGGTATCACTTCAGTCCAAGTGCGAGGCTACAAATGTTTTGGTTTATGTCTTCTACTCAGAATATCTGAAGATAACAATACATGGTGTGATAACTAATGTTATTCTGTCATCTCATCATGACATTCGGGTTTTTTTAATTTAAAAAGTTATCCGAATCCTCTTCTCACTTTCTAAAGAATAACATCTTAGAAACCAGATTTGATTCATATAGACTTAGCCTAGGCTGAGATACTTTCTGAAAGTCATGATTTTATAATTAAAAGATATACTAGAATATTAAGATGAGTATAAAGAATTATGTACAATATTAAAAATCATGTAAAATTTAAATTGTGAGAAAAATAAATTCTATACTTAATTCATACTACCATTTTCAGTGAAATTAAAAAAGTTTACAAGGTTGATTATGCTATAATTATGATAAAGCATTCAATCATTATTTTTGAAGATTCTAGGAAAAGATGTATTTAGTGAACAAATACATTCACATAGTATAAAGAGACATTTTTGTTTTTAAAAGATAACCAAAAATTACAAACAAGAGTCCCTAAAACACTGACCAGGAAGCCCATGGCAGAGCAGAAGGTGAGCTGCTACCCATGGCTCATTATTGCCTAAACACTGTCTCCTATTACATAACTTTCAACTTTAGATAGAGATAGGAGTGCAAACCCTACTCGGAATGGCTCACAGAGGTACTGTATTTCAGGAAGATATGCACAAGGATAAATCACATGCACCTTTGTTAGCAACCAACACCACAGGTACAGAACTATTCAAATCTTTGAATGATTATATATATCTGGAAATATGAAATGGTCATTTCATGTCAATATATAGATAAATGGAATAGCTACCAAGAGCAGATGATTTCTGGTCTCACTGCTTGAGCCAAACAGGTTGCTTCTTAATGTGAGTGTATGCAGTCATCCATAGAGAAATGCTGGCTAGTGGAAAAGTATTCCCTTAATTTAACAAGTTTTACAGTACATAATTAAAATTATCGACTATATTAATGTATGTATCCATAACTAATGTCTGTTAGAGAGGAGCTAAGAGGCAGAATGTACATGTGTTCTTATAAACATACACGTGAGATAGGTTCTAGCCAGTTTCTAAGTTACAAGAGCCACTTCTGAAATATCTTCCAGAAAAATAATCACTACTGGCAGGATACTTCTTCGGTGATACAGAATGGGTCTCAAAACTTGCTTACTTGTATGACACATTCCACTTGGTCAACAAACTCAGTCACGGCTGGGAGAATGAAAACTGTGTTCAGACTGGCAGATAAAATGACTGCAATTATGGGGAATTTAGATTTTTGACATTTCAAAGAGCAGAGATCCTGAAAGAGACTAAGCCAGGGCCTTCTTTCTCCTAGTTGGTACATGATCACCTATCTCAGCTACCATGAGTTTGAGCTTTACTTCCCAAACACAAAAGACCCCCATACTTGGAAGGAATTCATCTGCAACCCACTTGTGAATAAGCCAGGTCAATCAGCTTTGCCCATGTTAAAAGACAATCAATTACTTGAGATTCCATTTGAAGGTGGCCTTAAAATACATCAGACATATTCAAATCTCCATACATTCTGTATTAAGACAAGGAAAAATATCCGGAGACTGACTCAAAAGCGCTGAAAATGAAAGCACTGCTTTCATTACCAACATCTTTTCTTTTTTAAATTGCATTTCTCTATTTACTTTTTTTTCTTTATTGGTACATTTTAGGTATACAATACTCATCACTGGGATCTTGTACCCTTACATGATAAATCTTGGTTCTTATTTTTTCTCCATTCCCCTGACCTCCCTTCACCGCCTCCATTACCAACATCTTATCTTTGTGAAGCAGAGTTTTCTGCAGTGACAGCAATCAAAATGACCTTATAGAGTACAATGGACATAAGCAATAGACCTTTCATTTCACTAACATCACTCCCCCAGACAGGATCAGTGTAGTTGCAGAAAAACAAGCTCAGGTTCCCACTGCTTCTGAATTATGGTGAATGTATATTTTATTATATATCATAATGTAACAATAGAAATAAGGTGCAAGATAAATGAAAAATACTGGAATCATCTCCAAACCACCCTTCCAAACTGTTCTATGAAACTGTTCTTCTTTAATCACTTGACAATTATTTACTGAGCATCTAGGTCTATTCCTGGCTACTAGGGATATAACAACAAACAAGATAAAGATGGTCACATCCTAGGCCATCTGGAATAAGTGACATGGGCCATCAATCCTCAAAGAATTTCTCATTTATTCATTTAACATTTATTTACTGAGGAAGCCTATTACATGCTCCAGAACAATGTCAGAAGCTTATAATAAAGTAATGAACAAAAATGAGAAAAACTGTCCTTATGGAGTTTTCAATCTACAGTGTCAGGGGAGTCAACAGAAATTTTAAATTACAGGTAAAACCTTCACTTGCAAGCATAATTTGTTCTGGAAACATGCTTGTAATCCAAAGTACATATACATCAAAACGAATTTCCCCCTAAGCAGTAATGGAAACTCAGATGATTCATTCCACAACCCCCAAAAAATCATATAAAAATGACTACAATAATGTATTATAATACGAAATAATAAAGAAATACAAAATATAAAGAAAAACAAATTAACCTACACTTACCTTTGACAACTTTTGTGGCTAGTGAGAAGGAGACAAGACAGAGGAGTCTTACTGGTCTTACTGCATAGGATGACTTTCACTGTCACTAACTGAACCACTGCTATCTATTGGCTCAATGGAATATTTTTTTTTCTTTTCATGCAACTTTAATGAGGAACCTATTCAATAATACTTGGCTTTTGACTCCTGAGGATTTTGCAGAAATGTGACTTTGCACTGTCATTAAATGCATTCATTCTCACACTACAATCTTATTAGGGTGGTGCTTTTTTATAACATTTTGCACAGTTTCCCACATTTTTCATTTTTCCCTAATTTCATTTGAAGTGAGGGATTTCTCCCCCTTTCTTTCCACCTCCTCTGCAGACAAGAACTCCTCCATGACTTCTTGCTGTAGGGAAATGATCACCCACAATCCCACAGAGAGAGAGAGAGAGAGAGAGAGAGAGAGAGAGAGAGACACCCACCATTGGCTAAATTGTGATCATGTGATGTTCAGCATTATATACCACTTGTATTTCAAGACATGACTTGTTTGTCAAGTTAAAATTTATTAGAAATGTTTGCTCATCTTGCAGAGCACTTGCAAAATAAGTTGCTCACAATGCAAGCTTTCACTTTATATACTAAATGATGATGATGATGCTTTGAAGAACAGGAAGTGGAAGAGATCACAAAGGAAGTATGTAGACAGAGAAAATAACTGAACCATCTCTCTGGTCACTCCAAGGTAAAAGGTACAGCATATAGAAATTGACCAGCAAAGAAGATTAAGAAGGAGCCATAGAAAAACAAAATAAAAAAATGTGACACAATGGCAGGCAAATAAAGAAGGTGATTCAGAAATAGAGATTAGTTTTGTTAATACTAATCATGGATCAACAATATGATCATCCATAACTAAAATCTGAAATTGATTTCCTAAAAAGTATTTCTGCCCTTAACGTGGTATTTTCAATGGAGTATCAGGATTAAAACTTTACCAAGAAAGAATGAAAGAATAGAGACAACTGTTTCAAGGAGATCTGCTACTATGAGGATCACAT